TTTCAATTTATTTAATACATTCGATCACACATGTCACTCAGCTTGCAAAGTGAATATTCCAACATGTATACATTTCTCACCAATCCTGTTGAGAATACTATACATGTTATCTTCAACAGATAGCAACCATTTCTTTGTCCCATAAGTGCCTTGCCTCTCTATTTTTCTCCTTAACGTCCTTCCTCAGACTTTCCTTCACCCTCCCTCTTCCCACACTGTATCTGGTATTTATAACCATATTTTGTTTCTATATCCTCTAGTCATTCAGTTTTGGCAATGAGATATCACCTAACCCCAGTCAGAATAACTAAGATTAAAAAAAAAAAAAGATAAGTGATGGTGGGGGTGTGGTGTTAGGGGAACTCTCCTACACTGCTGGTGGGAATGTACATTGGTCCAGCCACTATGGAGAACAATATGGAGATTCCTCAAAGACCTACTAATAGAACTACCATACAACACAGCAGTCCCACTCCTTGGCATCTACCCAAAGGACAGAAGAATCTTTAGTCAGAAAAGTGCTTGCACATCAATGTTTATTGTGGTACTACCACAATTGTTAAGACATGGAACCAATACAAATTCCCATGAACAGATGAATGGATCAAAAAAGTGTGGCATATATACTCCATGGAATACTCAGCCAGACCAGTTTTTAACTATTTGTGCCACATGGCTGTTTATAAATAAACACAAGGATGCCTCCTTCAACTGTCTCCCAATCTTCACTTTTTCCATGAAGACTTGAAGGGTGAAAAGGGGCTGATATAGTGTCTCTTATTCCCACATGAGTATTGGTGATGGAAAAGGAACAGAAGTATTTGTATGAGGAGGAAATAAGATATTGGCTTTGAATAAGAGACATTCAGTCATTGGATTTGTCACATCCCCATCCTTCATCCTCCAGTGCACATTCTTTTCCAAAGTATTCTGAGACAACCCCTTCATTTTGAAAGTGTCTAACCAGAGCTCTAGATGACAATGGGATGAAATGCGATAGTATAACTAAGTTTACACCTGAATCTGACAGAGCTGGGTGTTGTCATTGGCGGTCCAGTCTGGATAGAGCAACAGCATACATATAGATGGCATTTTCCACTTTTGTTTCCAATCATTCAATGCCATATGAAGAAATTAAAGATGATTGGTATTTGGTCTTGGTCAATTGTAAACTCAGCAGATCATCTAGAAAGAAAAACCTTGCTGTGGGTTTTCTGAGGTTATTTTGCTAGATCGCTCTTAGTATTACTAATCCCACTAGTTCTAATTAAGTCAGTTTATTTATTTTTTAGTTTAGTTTTTTTTTTTTTTTTTTTTTTGGCCAGAGGATGTGTGTGTGTCCAGACAGAGACACTGGAGGAAAAGTGAGAAATCACTCCCCAGGGATGGTCATGTTGTAAATCCTTCTCCATTCACCTCTCAGGTTTTTGGGTGCATAACACATGCCCAGAGTGATTTTCAAGCCACCAGGTCCAGGACTCAAACTATGGTTGGCCATGTGGGAGTCCAGCATCTTAACCACCACTCTACCTGCTGGCCCCTAAGGTCAGATTTTAAAAATCTCAAATGTCTCTCTCTATATAATCTCTACATGGAATAAATAGACTTTAGGCATTATGCCAAAAGTCCCAGTCATTTCTCTCATCATTGAGTCCACTGATGAATTTGTTTGTTTTCATCTTTCTTCATCTTCTCTAATGCCTGGACTTATGGTCAGGAGATCACTCTGTAAAACAATTTTCTAGCTCTGAGGCTTCTGTAGTATGTTTTCTTCAACTCTAAATAAAAAGCGGTTATATAGATTACATTTGGCACTAAAATTGTATTTGTAGAAGCTTTCCATCTGGAAAGACTGATTAGAGTCAGCTTTGGCATTGGCTTCTAGAAAACTTGATAAAATAGGAAAAGATGAATAGAATGTGATCCAACTAATCTTGGAGTTACGTATAGATTTTGAGAAAATAGATGTTGGGATTAGCCCAAGGTTAATACTAAATTTTAGAAAAGAACTTGTATTATTCTAACTTTCCTACTTTTAATTTTTTTAAAATAAAATGGGGTTTGATCATATATCTCCATTCAAAATACATCAGATGTTTGTACTCTGCAGAAGATATTAAAAGATTCAAAGACATAATAGTACGGAAGACAAGTGTAGATACCACAGATTGTATGAGAGGGTAGTGAATTGTGGAGGGTGCGGGGGAGTGGCTCAGGAAAACATTTAACAGATACAAGAATGTAAGGTTCTTTTGTTGAAAACAGTGTATATATATTAATATCCCTGACTTGCCACACACTGCATGCATACTTTGAAAAACCATTTCATATGCCACAGAGATTTATGGCAATTAAATGTAAATAAGAAAATAATGAGACCAGCAGATGTCATAATGGTTACGTCACTGGACTCCCACGTAGTAGACTGTGATTCAAGTACTGGACCTGGAGACTTAAACTTACTCCCGGTATGTGTGCTTGCATGCCCAAGATCCTGAGAGAATGGAGGAGAAGGGACTGTGGTGTGGCCATTCTCCTCGGGGGGTGATATTTTATTTCTTGTCTCTCTCTGTCTCTCCTACAAGCACACACACACCCTATGGAAAAAAAAAAAAAGAAAAAGAAAAAAAAAAAACAACAAAAAACTCTAAAAACCGAAAAAAAATGTTAGAGGATATCAGTTAAATGTGAATGTCAAACAAGTAACATTTAATACATATCTCGTGTGATATTTAGGACACACAGATACTAAAAATGATTTATTGTTTATCTGAAGTTCAAATTTAATTTAGTCCTTTTTGGTGTATTCTGTTGGCTAAATCTGGTTTAAAAATGAGGTTTGGTTCCTTCCCTCTCACACTCCATCTTTGTCTCTAGTGTCACCATCGCTTCCCATGCTTTTATGTCTTATAATCTTTCAGTTTCTGCCATGGAGTGCCGACATTGGGTATATATTGAGTGGGGGCATACAATGCCTCTCTTCATAGTCTGGCCTGCTTCACTTAGCAATGAATCTTACATATCTTTGACTGAAGCAATGTACAGTGTATTCATAATGGGAAAATACATTTGGTATGCTGTAATGACACACATGAATGAGTGTAATTGAATGTAAAAAATACTAAAAAAAGGAAAAAGAAAATATAAAACAAGTAAATATAGGTAAAAAATAAGTTATTAAGCTCATATATTAAAGCAACTTCAAGCACTTAGAATTGAAAAATTATAATCATCATTACATGACACATTGTTCTCATTTAAAAAATGAGATTTGGCTTCTTTCTATTATACTTCTCAAAATACTAAAGTGATTATGTTTTAAGACATGGTCTCACCATGTCATAATCCTTCTGTCTCAGTCTCCCAGCTGGGACTTCAGGTGCAGACCACCACACCTAGTTCTTTTTCAGAAAGGGTCTTACTACATTGCCCAGCCCAGGCTGAACTTGAGATTGTCCTTCATCAGCCTACCAGACTGCTGGACTTAAAATTGCTGCACTGCATCTGACTTTTACTTTGGTTGAGGAATTCAGCTTGGGTCTCCCATGTGTCCCAGCTTGTAAAACATAGTGTCTTATCAGTGCATGCCATTGTCACTAGGCTTAAATGATTTTTAACCTAAAGTTAGCCATTTAGACTTTTTGGATATTGTTATGGTTTGAAAAAAACTGAGGAAGTTAAGTTGTTTAAATCTGAAATGTTTTAGAACTAAAATGGACATAACCATGATTCTGGTCACCAGAATTGGGAGTACTTGCCTCATTCCACTTTTCATGCATTGCTATAAAGTAGAAGTAGAAGTAGTCATCTTGTTATGAAAACTCTATGCCCACTAAATAAATAGGATCATATCGTAGCGATTGACAGTAATCACAAGAATTCTCCAAAGAGACCTAGAGTCAGTTTGAGATTTATATTTACCAGGGTCTCCTTTTATTCTTATCGACTTTGACCCATATATTATCCAACCTCCTTTATGTCCTTTATGAAATAACCACCATTATTCCACTTTAACTCTCTTCTGTGTAATTACATTATTTTAGTGTAACTGCTGTTTCTCTCATATGTCGTCCCAGGACCTTGAAATGTAATCTAATGTCCTTTCCTATCTCTTGCTTGCAGTAAACCTATTATGAAGAAGCTATGTGGGATGTCACGTATCTGTCTATATAATGGGGAAATGACCTTGTTCGAGGTCATTTACTGCTGTGAGTAGTGAAGTCTCATTTTTTGTCTCTGTAGATTAAGATTTCTCATACTCATATTGCTTCTATACAAAAGGCCTTCCCAGGACAGACCAAAAGGTTGGAAAACTTGTCACTTAAACTTTTCTAGACTTTTATTATCAGAATTTGTAAACTGTCTTCAAAAAGGTATTAGAGTATAATTTTACCTTCTAAAAGTTATGCTTTATAACATCCTTCAAAGAGAAACTATAAATCTTTTACCAAAAAGAGTGAAGGGGCTCTGCCCTGGTGGTATAGGTGACGAGATACTGAATTGCAGTCCTGGAAACCACATAGCCACCCCAACTTTGGATCCTGAGTTGACCTGAAGACACACTGAGTGCTCATGTACTCCAAAATTCTAATAAATTGAAGAAAGGGAATAGTGGCATGACAAGACCCTATCTAGGGTGTCCCCCTCTCTCTTTCTTGTGTTATTTTTGATTAAAATAAACTTTAAAATGTGAAGACTAGTGATGATTGTGCTTCCTGTGGCCTATATGCTTATTTTGCTTCATTTTATGAAGTTTAATAGATAAGAAAAAGGAAGTGTAGTACAAATACTCATGCCCTGATCTCTTCTCTCCACTTTCAGTTATTTGGTCTATACTGCATAAATCTATGATTAAATAGAAGAGACTCTAAGATTGCTTTTAGACCCTTACCTGCAAAGTTCAGGCAGGACCCAGAAATTTTATGGGTTTCCCTAGTCAGAGCCTTTTCTTGAATACCACTAAATATTTATATGTCTCATAGATGCAGAACAGAGAAAAGTCACCTGGGTTGAGACCCTGCCTTTAGAATGTGGAGAAGTCTCTCTCGGATCTGCTTGGTGCGGACAGCATAGACGACCGGGTTGAGGATGGGTGGAATGAGGAGGTAAAAGTTGGCCAAAAGGATATGGATGTGGGGAGGGACATGATGGCCAAATCGGTGAGTGAGAGAGGAAACAGCAATGGGGATATAGAAGACGAGGATGGCACAGATGTGAGAGCCACACGTTCCCAAGGTTTTAAGCCTGGCTTCAGGAGTGGCCAGACCCATTACGGCCCTGAAAATCATGAAATAGGAGGCAGTAATGGCTAATGAATCCAGGATCAATACCAGGAAGCCAATTCCCATTCCATATAAGTTGTTAATCCTTGTGTCACCACATGCCAAGGTGACCACGGCCATGTGTTCACAGTAGGAGTGGGAAATGACTCGGGTCCGGTAAAGGGGCAGCCTCAGGCGAATTAGTAAGGGCAGAGGTCCAATGTAGAGTACCCCTCGGAGGAGGGCAGCCAGCCCCAAACGACCCACCATAGGATGGGAAAGCACTGAGGTATGGTGCAATGGATCACAGATGGCCACATAACGATCAAAAGCCATGGCAAGGAATACACCTGACTCAACAGTGGCAAAGCAATGGATGAAGAACATCTGGACTAAACAAGCATTTACACTGATGTCGCGGGCACCAAACCAGAAGATGGCCAGTAGCTTGGGCATGGTAGAGGTTGACAGGACCAAGTCAATGACAGCCAACATGCACAGGAAGAAGTACATGGGCTGGTGCAGGCTGCGCTCTGTCTTCACCACTGCCAGGATGACCACATTGCCCACCACAGCCACTAGGTACATAGAACCAAAGGGGATGGACAGCCAGATGTGCAGGGACTCCAGTCCTGGGATGCCTGTGAGCCAGAAAGAGGTAGGTGCAAAGCAGGCATTATTAGAGATGAACATGTTTTAGAGTCCAGGGAGTCCAGGGAACTGGAGCCCTTTGTTTTTGATTTTTACTCCTGTGAGAGATATTGTCTTTGGAAACTGGTCTAGGTTCTCATTTTCATCCTGGGCAAACAGTGGCACCTATGATAAAGAATTTTGGATGACAACTTGAAAATCAATACATTATATACTTTATAATAGAAGTTATCCATGATGACACCAATGTTAAATGTAGAAACAGGCAGTTCATTACTTTTAATTGCTAAATTGCCTTAGGTAATGTAGAAATCCCCAAATTCTGCATTCCCTCTGACATCATAATTTTAGTTAGAGGCACTTTTCCTAAAGGAAATAAAACAGAAAAGTTACATGTGTAATGATTAAGTGCAAATACATGTGATGTGTTTAGCCCAGTGCCTCCAGACATTTTTTTTTTCTAAGTTAAAATTTTTTTAGGTTTCTGCCATAGGATACTTAAGCTCACTGGAGAGAGACAGAGAGAGACAGTGAGAGGGAAATTGAAAAATCATCCCCCAGGAAGGATGGCCATACTGCATTTTCCTCTCCCCCATTCTCCTTTTGGGATTTTGGGCACACACACATGTCCGGCATGATTTTCAAACCATCAGGTCCAATACTCAAATGGTGGTTGGCCTAATTACCATGCCACTTACTGGCCCCACGCATATACTTCTTTTATCACTATTCGATAGTAAGAATGACATCAATAACATATTGATCAGTTGCTTACAGTTACTTATTTTTATACTAATAAAAGTTTGGAGCAATATATGCTCAAATAAGGCATCATTTAAGTTCCAATAATCCACTTAGTGAATTGGAATTATTGTATTGATAACATTTTAGAGCTATATGTTTCTTGATACAATGTTACATCATAATACAATAAGTAAAGAAATAGCAAGAAGAATATTAAACTGATTTAAGTTCATTAATGTGTGTATATGTATGTGTGAGAGAAACAGACAGACAGACAGAGACAGATAGAAACTTGCCCTAAAACAAAAAAGTCTGGGAAGATTAACATGAGGTTTTCATTTGTTGACATTGAGAAAGATTTGATTATAGGTGCTTTTAATTTTCTTCCTTTTGTGTATGTTTGTATGTGTGTGTATAAAAGATGATCATCTTTTAAAAATGATCTACTTTTAAAGATTATCAGTGACTTTTAAAATAAGCATATAAATGATCAAAGCCTGATTAAAAAATGTAAGAAGGCAATTTCCTAAGGAAACTATATTAGTGAAATATAATTCCACTTTCTCCAACAGGTTTAACACTATTTGTTCAGTTAGTCAAATGTAATTGACATCTTCAAAGATATTTAACACACAAAATGAACCTAATTTTTCAAAAGAAAATGTCTCTCATTTAAGATTGTCCAGATTTTATGGTTAAACAGGATGAAAAAGAGATAAAGTTTTAAAAGAAATATTTAGTTTAAGGAGACTCTTAAATTTTCCTGGACAGAGTATTGATATTATCTATAATTTGAGATAATAAAAGAGATGTATTTTTATGACACATTTTATTAGATATTTTGTCCATTCATCATCTGATAACAGGGACTTAAAAGAGTGGGCTTATATGAAATAGTCAGAAAGACCCTTCCTACAGACTACATTCTTCTTGGCCTCTTTTTTGAGGAGTTAGGGATATTAACACTAATGAAGCACTAGACTATTGCTTTAAAAAAAGCGTTGTCTGGGACCAGCAGATGGGCATAAAGTTTATGTCGCTAGACTTTCACATAGTTGACCATGGTTTGAGTCCTGGATCTGGTGGCTCAAAACCCACGCTGGGCATGTGTGAGTGTATGCCCAAAATTCCGAGAGGAGAATAGAGGAGAAGGGATTACAACATGGCCATCCCCCCTGTGAGGGTGATATCTTGTTTTCTGTCTCTTCAGCAAGTGCACGTGCCCTAAAGTAAAAATCTATTAAAAAAACCCACAAAAACCTTATCTACTTATTGTCCTTCTGCTCTTCAGATGTCTCTGCTGAGAATCTAGCAAGGAATCCTATTTATTCACCTACTTAGCATTCAGACTCTGAGAGCACAGGGTCTGATTTGTGTCCTTCTCTGTTTCAAGTTTGTCTGCTGATCTTCCACATTATTGCCAGCTGAATCAGTGAGTCTCATGACACTCCACATCAGCACAGTGACTTTCTTCACAATACCATTCTTTTTGCTGAGAAATTTCACTACCTCCTTGTCTTTTACCTAGGAAAGATTCCCCATCAACCTTCAAGGCCCATCTTAAGTCATCCCTCTTTTACAAAGCCTTGTGTAGCTCTTGCCTGTGTGGAGGAGGTTTGGAGTAGCAACTGCCATCACTAACTCCCTCCAAATGGTCTCAAACAAGCCTATACACATTTCAAAAACTTACTTTTGTCTAAGATATAAATGTCAATTACATTTCCATAGCAAATAAGCGTAAGAGGTATTTTTATGTATCCTCTTGGGTCCCTAATTGGAATGCCAACACAGTTAATTTTAAGTGATTTGTTAATAATTCTACTGAGTAACTCCATATGCAAATAAATGATAACATGTGTGAATTCATTCCTTTGGGTTCAACTGTAAGGTGGGTCTGGATTCCTTAGATAAGATAGGAAAGGGGAGAAGGTCCTAGGGAGTAACACCGCATAGCTGCCAAGAGCAATGACTTCGCCATCTGACAGACCAGTTTCCCCAACTAAGATCTTCATCTTATTCTGTGTTTGGGAAAATTGACAAGACCCTTGAAGCTTCCTTTTTCATACATAAAAGGGAGAGAATACTGCAGAGACTAAGTATACAAAATAAATGAGATAGGTGTGAGGCTCTTGCACATGACAGCAGGTGCCTTACCCTGAAATTTTACCAATTAGTATGACTGGGAGACTAGGGATTTACTTTCTAAAAACCGAAATGATTTTCAAGCAGATCTCTGTTACCCAGGACATTTCAGAGGGTGCCCCAAAGTACAGCAGTGGTATAGATAGGTCAGAAATTTATGGCGAACAATAGTCAACACACAGTTTTATCACATCAAAGGGAGAAAGTCTAAAGAGTTCTCTAAAAATATTGCCAAGGACCATCATCCTAGAGCAGAAAGGGGCCTGATTATTCAATTTAAGGCCAGGTAAAGATAGTGGCTACTCTTTATAAAAGAATCAGTGTCCAGAGGCTGATGTGAAACCTGGGTCTATAATTTTGATCTGTGCCAGACCCAGTTCAGCCAGTGAAGTGGTCACTGAATTTTAGGCTGGGACAAAGAGAATGTTGAACACATCTAAATAAATAACATCCACCAAGTTGACAACTGGCATCTTAAGTAGTGGTCTGAACTTGGCTGTGGCACTTCAATTGTGTCACTTTAATGTAGAACATTCCAGAAAGACATTTTTGATCAGCGCTGTTAAGGGCATCCTTACCTGGACACTGATGATAAGCCTGCAAGTCTTGGAAGAAGCATTCCGATGGTGGGGTGAGGATTCTGAAAGAAACATTTTGTTATGGATTAGAGCAAGACAGATTTAGGTTCTAATGTTAATTCCACTGTTCCTGGCTCTGTGACTTTAGGCAATGTAATCTCTCTGCTTTTTAAATTGTGTTTCCTGATCTGTGACATGGGGAGAACAATAATTACTTTAGAGTTGCTTTGTACATTAAATAAAGTGTTTGTAAATGTATGTGTATGCACACACACAACCATCTGTTAAAATATTTGGCTTCTGGATAGGCACTGCATTCTCCCTTTATTTACTGCTTTTTGTTGTCTCCTTCCAGAACGTAGACACACAGTTCTCTTTCTATATGGCCAAATGGCTCTATATCATTCTTTCCTACCTGTGTGACTGACCTCTTTAAAATCCGCAAAGATACCTACTGATGGTGTAAGAATCAGATCAGAAGAGAAAGTTGTCAGTGCAACAAAAAACAAGAGCTCTAATCTGGCTGGGATAGTGCAACCTCTCATGTTCTGAAGGAGAGTACTAGGTGACCAAGACTTACCCAATTGTTTGTCCTATCCTTTGATTTATAATACTGGCGAATTTATACTCAATTTATTTCTCTTACTTTTGACTAGATCTTTGGGGAGAATAGCCTTAAATGGGCAAAAGACAAATATAGTTTCTGAAACTTAGAGACTGCTTCCAATGACTTTGACCCTCTTTCCAGAATGTACTTACCCATTAGGGTGCCATTGACAGACCTAAGCTTTGCTCCTTACAGTGGTCACCTCCTGTCTGGATATTTGGATGAACGTAGTTGACAGTCAAGGGGAGGCTATGCCCCTGATCTCTTCACCATTTTTTCCTAAACTCTCTCCTTTTCTAGGTTTTGAAAATTGCCAGTTACTTGCAAGGGCTTACAGAGAAATCTGCATACTTCCCTCTGGACTTTTAGTGACCTCTTGGGAGCAACCCTCACTTCTCAAACCACTCTTCCTTTAGGAATAGAACAAATATTTTTATTCCTACTCCCTTTCTGGGCTCTTGGCTTGTCCCATGTTTCTGACTATCCTACTTTGGGCCTGAAATATTCGAAGACTTCAAGAGACATATCAAGGAAGGGCTCAAAGAAAAGGGTGGAATAATTCACTGATTAATGGTATAACCAATATGCACCCTTTTAAATGTTAATCATTGCTTCCATTAAAAAATGTAAAATTCAGGCTATGTGAAGAAGAAAGCAACTTAACATTGTAATTATTATTTAAAATAGATATTCATAGGTCCAGTCATAGTAGGACACCTAGACATTATTGGTTCTCAGGCTAGGGCCACATGAGGGGCTCAGGTTTGATTCTTGGCCCATCCTATAAAGGTGAATGCAATGACACACGCCTCTATTTCCAGTTATTCAGGAGGCTGAGGCAGGAGGATTGTGACACAGAAAGACCCTGTTTAAAACCCTACATATGCACACACCCCTCTATGCACATACAAAAGTATTTTTAATCACAAGTTGAAATAGTATGTGTTAATTTCCATGGTTTCTTTACGTAA